AAAAAAAAATTACGAAAGTGAGATTTAAATTTTATCTGTTGATGAATATTCTTTTACATTTTCTGTTCTTCATCTTTACCACCTGTTGTCTACACCGTCATTTCAGCCACTTAAACTGTGGTATTTGTTCAGAACTAAACCTTTCCCAAGTGGATGTACTTTGCTGATCGGGCCTCTATAATCATCAGATGATTTTGGTTGAAGAAGACAGGATTTCTAGGAAATCGCTCATGGATTTGGGAGATTAACGAGCGAGGCGGGTGGTTGGGAGATGGACTTTGATTGTCGTTTAAATCGATGAAGTTGAAATAATTGGAGGGGGGAGGGGGTGAACAAAAAGGTGAAGGAAGTGTAATATACCGTCTTTGGCAGTGGTTTTTTTTTTGGCGTTGCTCATTTTGATTGCTAAATTTTTTTCCTTTTTGATGTTGATGACAATTCTTCATTGTTCAGTGATACAGTTTTTGAGAAAATTTTATTGTTCTTTTTTTTTTTTACTTTTCAGGTTTATACCTATGTTGGTACTGTCGTTACTATGTTTTATGAGATTATTTGAAATTATTTCAGGCGAATGGCTTGACATATCTGTACAAATAATTTAAGGTATTTATGTGACATAAACTGCTATAAAAACATCGATTTTGTTTATGTAGTTCTTCTTCTTTTATCATAAACAAAAGTCTTAGGTTTCTCTTTCCGTATTTTTGATAATTTTGTAGAAAAAAATATTTCAATTAAGTATAAGACTTCAATTAAGTATAAGAATATTTTCAAATGACAGAATAGGCTTTTTTGCGCTAGTTTGGAGGTTTGAATGTGTTTTTTTTGCAGAACATGTGAAACTTTTGGCTAACCTAATTTACTTATTGGACGGATTACTGTTTATAGTATAATTAGTTTTTATTTGATCTTGGAGACAAAAATATAAATTTTTTGAAAACTAAAGACAACCTATTTTAGTTGCCACTGTTTCCGATGACTGCTTGACAGATTTTTTCAAACAGTTTTTTTATAGATGGAGTTCTCTTTTGCTATTCTTTTTCTTACTTCTTACAAAGAAAAAATTCAATAAACTTTTGAGTTATGCTTTACTATTATGTTCTTGTTGAATCTTTGTTTCATTTATCGTACAGCTGAATCAGCTAAGTCTTTTATTTTCGCTGAGAATCTAATGGCGTAATTAAACAGAGGAAGTAGACAGCTTTAATATTTTTCAGA